CACTACCAGACTTGCTTCGGATGCTGGATCTGACCTACATTTTCCAGATGAATGACCAGATTAAACTTTTTGGAGCAGGTCCATTCCTAAGGAATTATAAGCCCTACTTGGACCAAACTTGTATGGATGATCCATCTAAGGATGGACACTACCAGACTTGCTTCGGATGCTGGATCTGACCTACATTTTCATTCCCTAGTAACTATAAGCCCTGCCTGAACCAAACATGCATGGATAATGCATCTAGGGATGGACACTACCAGACTTGCTTTGGATGCTGGATTTGACCTACATTTTCATTCCCTAGTAACTATAAGCCCTGCCTGAACCAAACTTGCATGGATGATGCATCAAGGGATGGACACTACCAGACTTGCTTTTGATGCTGGATCTGACCTTTATTTTTATTCCCTAGTAACTATTAGTCCTACCTGAACCAAACTTATCAAATTTTATACACATACCAATTTTCATGTTGCTTTAATTATATATCCTCGGTGGGGCATTCATGTCCTATGGACATATTTCTAGTTTACCATTGTTTCCTACAATAAATTATCAACACAGCCATATATGGCATATATGTTATTATTATACTATGGGTTAAAAGTTTTTTTTTTAAAATTCCAAAACAAGCGTCTGTGAGCTGAAGGCCTGGGTGAGATTAATTTTTATTATGCCCCTGGATCGAAAAATCCTGGGATTATATTGTTTTTGTCATGTTTGTCGGGTTTTTTGGTGTTTGTCTGTTGTTAACTTTAACCTATCCCATTACTATTGAGGGGTTGGACTATGGCTTTCATATTTCACAAGTGTTCTTTGTGACAAATTAAGACCTTACTTTGGTGTTTGTGTTTGTTACCACCATTTGACCTTGGCTTAGAGATTGATCTACTTTTGAAAAAGAAGTATATTTTAACATTGCATTTCTTTTAAACAGATCGAGCTAATAAAGGCTTTAATACTTCACATGTATATTATAAGTTACAAACTCTTTTTGTGACAGGGTATGGGATGACACCTGTTTAGTAAATTTCATAACTGGTGAGGTGGAGCCAAGTCAGGTATGAAATTTACTAACCAGGTATCAGCCCATACTCTGTCATTAAAAGACTACGTAACAAATTTACCCCAACGATGAAACATTTACATATTATCTGTGGTTTATGATGTTTTTTAAGCTACATGCTTTATCACACTTATACTGTGCCTATTATGATGTCATGTTGTGTTTGTTACGTAATACATCAACTGGGTATAGATTTGTCTGGTAACTCCATCAGAGATTAAGGTCAAGATATCAATGTCATTTTTCTGGTTGTGTCATATGTACATTTACAAAGTTGGGTTTATTGTATACCAAACAATGAAGTTTGGAATCTTGATGTCTATCTATCATACTTTTTATAGACAAAATAATAATTTGGTTTTCAGTCTCTGAAATTTCAAACTGTAGAATGAATGTTCCAGACATTATAATCATTTGGCATTTTATACTTGTTTTTAAAAATTGAGAAGTTAACAAAAATAATAAAAGATGGAGTATTCCTTGCATCCATGCAAAGACATCAGAGTCTGTATAGACCAACTTTTTTTGTTATGAAACAATTGAGGAAGTTCGTAACTCTAATGATTTTTTTTTGGACTTTAATAACAACATTATTTCATACTATTAAAAATGAGAAAATTATATCATACTAAAATGTACATACTGTAAATTCTTAATGCATTATCAACATAGTGTTTCTGTCAACTAGCATGTCATTTTTATTTGAACAGTTATCCATGCTTCCATATTTTTTATCATCTGCCCTTTTTATCTTTGTACAATTTTCCTGGATTGGTATACTTCTGGGCCTATTGTGGTTGCAAGTGATGCAACAAATAAATTTCCAAAATATTAAGAAATTGTAAAGCTTCAGTGATGTTCAAAATTCTTTCTTTCTGCAGCCATTCTTATTTAATCTATACAAATATTTTTAATTTTAAATTCCATTTTTATTGGCTCTACTGGTCAGAGACCAGAAGAGCTTATGTGATAGTAAGGTGTCCGTCGTCCGTCCATCTGTCTTGTCTGTCTGTCTGTCCGTCTGTCTGTAAACAATTTTTCAAAACACTACTCCTCCTACAATTTTAGTCTGATTTCAATATAACTTGGCACACAAGTAGACTACACTAAGATACATGGAATAGTGCATCGGTTTTCAATTTCGATGAACGGTCTGGCCATGGATACTAAAAATAGAATTTTCAGTGAAATTCCTTTAAACACTACTCCTTCTACAGTTTTAGTTTGATTTCAAAATAAGTTGGCACACAAGTAGACTACATAAAAATACATAAAATAGTGCAATGGTTTTTGATAAGTACAAACCAGTAGAGCTACAGTTTCAACAGAGACTTCTGGTTTTTAAAATAATAAATGTAAGAGTAAAAAAAAAATATCAAGCTAATTCCGAGAATTTCTCGGATGACAAAATAGGTGGTTAATTAAACTTGTTCATTTTACCCATAAACCATGACTCAAGATATTATTTTCATTTTTTTGACAAAAGTTTGCATCACCTGTCCCTAAGTGATGTGTTAGTTGACAGAATTATAATTGTTTGTATACATTGAGAATATACCTGCAAATATTAATCTTGGTATAATGTAATGTGAAGAATACAGTGTATAATTGAATAAATTTTAAATTGTCATTTTTTATTGTAGATTTTCATTTATGTGGTTTTCCTGTGTTGCAATATCAATATATTTCAAATCAGTTCATTGTATTTGTCACGTTGACTTTGCATAAAAAGGTATTTATAGGTGGTTTGCCTTTTGCCCCAATCTATTCAGTGTTCTAAATAAAAATTGTTTTAATCAATATTATTAGTAAAAGGAGTTTGTATCCCATATTAGATCAGTTTCTCGCTATGTCTGTTATATAAAGCCACTTGGTTAGTCACTGTTCAATGTAATCAATAGGTTACCAGTGAAGATCAACATGTGCTATACAACACCCAATACACCCGTACATAAAACTTTAGGCTTTGCACTTGTGTCATTAAGTCATTCATTGTCATCAGCAGGTTAAGACAATTTAATCATATTACAGATAATACAAATATTCAGCTGTTGTTTATATATTTTCCATACATATTATATCAGAATTATTGAAAGTAAATAAGAAAGAACTTTTTGTGCTCTCATAAACGTTACTGATTTTTTTAATTGTGAAATTGGAGTCAGACAAGGTGAAAACTTGTCATCTTTTTTATTTTCAATTTCTCTAAATGAACTGCAGAATTTTTTCCAAGAAAATATGTCAATTGGCTTTCCTACTATATATGGATGTTTTAATAACATTTAAATCAATTGGTTTACCTACTATATCTGTTATGTTTGAACAGCATTTAAATGTTATTTGACATTATTTGCACCATTATTTGCGGACGACACTTTGATAGCTGAATCTGCTGAGCACTTACAAGCAAAAATTAATTGTTTTGAAAAGTATTGCATAAAATGGAATTTGAAGATTAATATTAACAAAAGTTTTGATAATAAGTAAAGGAAAGAAAAAAGAAAAGCCTGAAATTAAATATGGCAAACAGCTGATTGAAGTTGTAAATGACATTAATTATTTGGATATTTTATTTAGTACGTCAGGTTCTTTCAAGGAAGCAAAGCAGAAACAAGTTGACAAAGCAAATAAAGCAATATTTGAAATTCTTAAGAAAGGCCGCTTACATAATCTATCAATATGATGTCAGACCTGTTCGATAAAATCATTCAGTCTATATTAATTGTTGTACAGATGTGAAGTATGGGGATTTTCAAACAATGCAATTGTAGACAGAGAACATCTAAAATTTTGTAAATTACTTCTTAACCTTATAAAACAATCTACTCCGCAATGTATGGTGTATGGTGAACTCGGTCGACATCCCATGTCCATTAATTGAAATACAAACGCGTATTATTTCCTATTGGTGTAAACTTAAATTTGGAAAAGAAACAAAAATATCAAGTTTGCTGTTTAAATTAAGTGATATCGTAAATCAAAAGACTAAGAAGATTGCCCGGATAAATAATGTCTTGAATATCTGAAACAATTGTGGACTTTCAAATATTTGGAACAGTAAAGCCTTCAATATAAATTGGTTAAAAGCGAAAGTAAAACTAACTTCAATAGATCAATTTATACAAAAATGGAATTTGGATTTTCAAAATTTATCAAAGACCCTAAATTATAGAATATACAAAGACGAACTAAAATGTGAAAAATATTTAGAAATTCTATCACGAAAAGAAGCCATAAATTTCTGCATATTCCGTACTTGTAATCATTATTTGCCAATTGAAACTGGACGTTGGTTAAATGAACCAAGAGAGATTAGAATAGACTATGTAAGAAATGTCAATTCAATGAAGTAGGAGATGAATTCCATTACATTTTAAATTGTACGTCAATGACACGTGAAAGAAATAAATGTTTAACACAAAAACAATTGCGATTCAAAAAATACAATTACATTAAGAGATAAAATGAATTCAGATAACAGCCCTTTTTAAGAAAACTATATTTATTAAAAAAAATTACTAAAACTTGCTCCCCAAACTAGTAAAGACCTAAACCTATAATTGTACTATTTGTCTATCCTCATACTCACACATGCCATATATGTGTTTTTATTTGTCATCATTGTAGTTTACATTTATATCTCGCTATACAATTGTAAAAGAGATCAATAAATTCAGTTCAGTTCAGATAGAGTGATGAAATGAATTACTCAAGAATTAGCACAGCTTTTGGAAGTCTTTCAAAGAAAAGAAGAGTTTGTATAAAAATTAAACACAAGCTAGGTACTGTATGCTGTACTAATGCCAATCTTATTAAAATCGTATCTTTGTTACTCTAGGACATTCTGACAGTGTAAAGAATTTTAAGAGTTTATTTAACAATTATCATAATTAAAGAGCTGATTTTAATAAAATTGTACTGAATAATTAGATTCAATGAAACGTTTTTATTGCATGCTGATTGCATGTTTTGGAGGACAACTGAATAGAGGTAAAATTTGTACAAAGGTGCATTTAATATCAATCAGTACAAGTTCAGATATGACTGGAAAGGATATCCATCACCTCCCCAAAAATGTCAAGTCCATATGATTCTGAATCTTTCATCACATTTACTGCTTCATCCAATCTCTCCCTGTCTGTTTCAGATAATGGACACTCATCCCTTGGTTTCAAATAACATTTTTCATCATTTGATATGTTTAAGTGTTCACATCTCTCTGGAAGGCGGCCCATCTGGTCATCCTGAGTATTTTTAACGGCTGTTGAATTACTGTTTGCATTAAAAGCCAAAGACTCTAGCCAAATCATCTGTGGTGTTTTGTTATTTTCTGTTCTGAGCCTGTGGTTGTTGTGAACTATGGACCAGTCTTTAAGTGCAGCATCAATCCTTGGTATGAAGGTGTAATGAAGAGCAAATCTATGAACTGGGTTGTTCACATCCAAAACTTGCTTATCTTCCATGTAATGAAAGAGTCGATAATATATCACCAGAACTTTCATGTACACATCTCTCCACAGTCGTTCAATCCTCTGATTGTGAACAGACTTTCCTGTGATGAAACTTCCCCTATCTGTTCCATTTATGGCTGTCATAAAACGTCCAACATCTACAAATTCTCTTCCAGAATCTGCACGCACTCGACTAGGGATTCCATACCTATTGACCCCTTTTAGAAAGAAACAAGCTGCTCCCTTTGATGTATTGCATGAGGATGCTCTAAGATATGTTATCATTCTACTATATCCATCAATGCCACCATGTACCACAATGTTCCATCTAAAAGAGATATATATTCAATATTTCACCTGTTTTTAATAAAATCTAATATAATGGCTTGAATAATGGTAAATTAAGAATGATAAAACAATTTGACCAATGTTTGATAAAATATATTGATATGCATCAATTTATAAGCATCAATTTTCAAGGTTAATTTTTTTAAGAAATATATTTTTCTAAAGTTATTGCTGTAATATTATTAGGAATAAATGTAATTCTCAATCTTCAAACAGTTCCAAATCTATGATGTAATAAGAATTTTAATGAGTAGAATAGTACATTATAATTCTCATAAACATCAGTCAAGGGCATCATGGAAACAGTTATTTTTGAAATAATTTGTTTCAGTTAATATTAAATGTCAACATTTTGGGTTATCTTTCCCTGATTATGCTTTTCGTCAATAACTTACTCCTGTTATTGATACTTTACTACTCATTATTGTAAACCTACCGGCATCTAAACAGCTTTATTCATGCTGTGCTTGGGTTATTAAGTAGAGGAAAGATGCTAATGACAGTAAAAGTAATCTATCTTTCAGACTTAAAACATTGAAATCCAACAAATTATAACTTATTTCAATTATTTCATCCTTAACCCACCTCACTTTAAAACTCTAGCACAAAAATGTACAGCTTTGCACAAAAAATGCAAGACATAGAGATTGTACAGTAACATCCAAAGATTTTAGGAAAATTAGTCGCAATGTTGGCAAATTGGCGGAAGATGAAATGGAATTATTTTTCCTTGAAAATATCATATTATTTTTTTTAATATCATTGTATCTTCTCAGGAGATATTAAGTCTGTTGAGACTATTAAAAGAAGTACATATATTTACAACTTTCTCATCCTTACATCATCTTAAATCAGTAGCAAAATCAAAATATAAATGTTTTTTGACAAAACTGATATGCATTCTACTTTTTAAGCATTAACTCAAATTAGTTACTTTTTTGTTTAGTAATATATCAGTGAGAAAAACCTAAACAAGTTATTTTAAAAAATAACTTTATTCCATCATGCCCCTGACTGAACATATTGTTTGCATCTTCACGGTGTCAAGGTGTGCCATTTCTGTTATCGTAAAACCTAGCCATTGTGAAGATGCATCTTGTAAAAGATTGCAGCTGAACGATCAATGATGATGTGACCTCTAATTTTTAAACTATCAACTAGAACTATGTCCATAGGACATGAATGCCCCTCCAAGGCTATACAGGTAAAGCAACATGAAAATTTGTATGTAGGATCGCACTCAACAAAAATGCTAGCTAGGACTCAAAACCTCAACATCTCAAAAAAGTCACAATGGAGGATAGCACACAGCACCTATTTTAACTATATATAACATTAAATATACATATGTATGCAGGAATTTGTATTTCATATACATGTATGTTTATTTCTTATATGTTCAACATATACGCTTTTGCTTGTTTCCCGAATATTCTTTGCGACATCATTGTACTGTTGACAACGTCATTACCATAGCATTTTAACATAAAATGTTTAAAGTATAACGTCTGAAGAATGTGAAATTAAAGCACTAACATTTTACAGTATGTTTCTGCTGTTTCACCATATGAAGTTGAAAAAATATTATAAATGGTTTATTCAAAACTGACTTACGGTAAGCACAAATGGATGAAAGTGAGGTCAAGGTCAAATGAAAGGTCAAGGTAAAAATGATACACTTGAAATGCTTACCTCAATATCTATCAGCTTATGACGTTTGACACTAATTAAGGAAAAGTGAGGTCAAGGTCAAGAGAAAAGTCAAGATCAGAAAAGTTTATGCAATATTGCATATCCCTCATCAAATATGTATCAACATATGAAGTTTGATAAAAAAAAAATATCAAGAAAGAATTTCTTTAAAATTTTGATTAAAACTGACTTAAACACAATTTTATAAAAGTGAGGTCAATGTCAAAATTGTTGAAGCAGTTGAATTGCTTACATCTGTATGTATCAGCATATGAAGTGAAACAATGATTTAGGATAAGTGATGTCAAAGCTGAAGGTCAAAAATGTTGATGCAGTTGAATAGCTCTCATCAATATCTATCAGCATTTGAAGTTTTATGAAAATATCTTGTATAGTTTCTTTGAAACTTAGCTTCGAACAGAGCTAAAGGCAAAGTGTGACGGAAGACGGACATGACAAACACTATATTCCCTTGCCATATTCATGGCGAGGCCTTAAAAATGGAATTTCAGATTGCCTTACAAGTAATGGACTTGAAAGAAACAAATGCGGTAACAAAATACTGTATTTCATTACACCATTGAATCAATTTACCTGATCAGTGAATGGTGTGTATCAACATGCCATAGGAAATTGGCAGATGGCACACAATATTGCCTTCTCTGTATAGTGCGGGACCAACGAGTTGCAGTTCCAACTGGGTCAACATTGGACAAGAGTTCACGACACCTTTTTCTTGGAATCAAAACTCCCTGAACTTTCAAGGCAGCTAAAACTTCCTCTGAACCTAAATGAAATATTTTTTGATATTTAAAATATATATAATTATATATATGTAACTAGAGCAAAGCTTGTTGCAAAGCAATGAGTAGGTCTACCGTCCGCGTTTGACCAGAAGTAGCTTTCATTTTTAACAAAAATGAGAAATAACGCCCAAAACTGCTTTGAATCCTCTAAAGCTATGTTAATTAATGCTAAAATATGCCAATTTTGGCTACTTCCCGTTTGACCGGAAGTGATGACGACGCATGAAAAATTCATTTTTAAGCTCCCAGAGACATGTTACCCAAAAACTTGTCAAAAACGGCAAAATACGACTCCATTAGATGAAGCTTGACTTTTTCAACAACTTTGCTTCTTTGATGTATAACAAATTCTCAATACATTTTGAGATATCTGGAAAAACTTTTGGCACCTCTAGAACCCTTAATTTAGGAGTCAGCCCTTTCTTCGACATATCATTTGAAAGATCTAATTCTGCACGAATTATGTTCTATATATTTTAACAAAATATTTTTAGTTTAGAAGATAAAAAAAAAGCAAAATATAAATAATAATAGGCTCATTCAAGCGTTCCAATTTTTTACCCCTATATAGCGCCATTTTGAATAGATAAATCAAAAAACAAAAACCGATGTGCACAACTTCAATCCTTCTATTATCTAAAATCAGTAGAATTTCTGCTCCAGCTTTAGCTGTCTCTGAGCCTTTTTCTGAAAAGGAAAGCCTATTTTGTTTAAAGGAAAATAACTCAAAACCGGAAGTGACATTTTAAAATTTTAGTAAAAATTCTGATAGAGTTTATAAATGTTTATAATCTCTGAAAATTTGAGCAAAATCCGTTGAGAAATGAGTGAGATATAAGGCCTCAAAGTTGAAGTCTAGAAAGCAGAAGAAAAAAAAAGAAGAAGAATCTTGACCAACAGAATCAATAGAATATGTGTGTGTATTAGTTACATTTCTCTACTCAAAAGATATATGTCTTAAAAAATAAATGCACAGGTAAAAAATTCTACCTGCATTTGGATGATCTCTGTTATAAGTCCTGATCAATGTAGTTAGCTCATCATCATTCAAATTGCTGTATTTTGACCTCACAGTTTTATCTTCATCCTTTAAACGGTTGTAAATGGTGTTAGGGTGTATTTTTCCACCTAAAAGTCCATTCTTTGCTATTGCAGTAACTGAAAATCCAAGGTCAATCAACTCCTTCAACTTGTCCATGTCAACTTGCAGGCGATGTCTTCCCCTTCCTGTAGAACTTGGTTCTCTCTGTACTGCTTGTATAAAAAGGGGAAAACTTTTATTTGGGGTTGAATATGATGATTTGCTAAATAGGTTTTATCTAGATGATATCTACCACTTGCACATCAAAGGAATTAAACTGAAATTTTATTTACACTTTAGAAGTGTATTACCTTATATTGCCTATAATATAATACAGGGGATGACAAATCCCATTGCCCGACGCCAGGGGCTAGTGAATTTTAGGGGTGGGCAAGTGAAATTTTATCAACCACTTGCCCGTGGGCAAGTGACGTATCAAAAATAGATTTTATTTGTAGGCCATTAATTTAAAGCTGGGCATAGGGGCTTGCAAGATTAACTCAACATTTAATTGTCTTCCTCTTTTTTGAAATATCTAAAAATACAGAATTAGTTTATGGTAGGGCAAGCAAAAATTCAAGTAGGGCAAGTCAATTCTGACCATGTACTTGCCCTTGGACAAGTTCTTTAAAAATCTATTTGTCAGCCCCTGATAATAGCTGACCCTGAACATTTTTTCTGACAGTATCTTTCCGGGAGTAAACTATTCCAATCTGGATCACTTTCCTGTTTGAGAAAATGCATATCATACTCACAAAAATCAGAAATATTTTGAAAAGGATTTCCCTGGGGGAAGATGGCAGTGTGCTTGCCAGTAAAATGTTTTAATAAAATAACTAGAGGTACTGTGAGCAATGAGCTCACTAAATGATACCCCCCACCTCCCATATGAATATATTAATGGCAGTGTTCATGTTCTGCTCTGGAAAATCAAAAAAATATGTCAAATCAATTTTATTTCTTCAGGATATTGTTTAATTTCTTCCTCATAAGAACGTTTTATTCATTACACCTGATGCATTCATGATCTTTTTCTGAAGAATATTTGCTTAGACCAGAGACATGTCTCTGCTTAGACTGTTAGCTAGTATAACAGAGACCTAAACAATATCATTGGCGGCTACTATGGACAGTTATAACCTTTGACAACTGCATGAAAAATAATTTACAGATACTTTTGAATACGAACATGGGCCTAGTACATTAACTTTCAGTGCCCGTGAATATACGAATGCATAATTATCTCACCAGCATGTTATTTTGCAACAAAGTCGTCAGCATTTTTATTTGTCCTCTGAGCGGGTGAAATGTTTTGAATGAAACTCCTAAGTCTTATTGATAAATTTCACACTAAACCAAGCTATGGTGCTGCTATGCACTTGCAGATATATCTTTGACTTTTTATTAATTCATGGTCATCTTAAAACCGGAAGTACGAATTCGTAAATTTGAAATCTCGATCCCCACTTTAAATTAAAATTTGACATCGGAAAGAAAAAAATTAATTATTATTAATGATTATTCTTTTTTATTCTGAAAATTCTAAAACTTAATCGGCGGGTTTGTAAACCTAAAAAAAAAATATATGTCTCAAAATATCGGTCTCAATAAATATTTGAATCTTATTTGACGTACAAATTATATTTGAATTTTCTGCTCAGTAGTGAAAACATGCAAGTCCAATATAATATGAATTCGATTGTTAATAAATTAAGGGTATGTAAGACGAAGGGCGTACTAATATTTCTCAGTTTATTTAAGGGGGATAAATCTGCCAGCAGTCACGGGGGTACACATGATACATACAACTTACGTTTTCATACTAAATGTTAAAAAATAAAAACATATATATATATATATATTTACAGTAAGCATGGTAAACTTACTGTTATCATCAGAAAGACAAGGTTGGGTATCTTGTACATCTGGGTCGGTAACAGGATCTGGGAAATTTGTAGTTAAGTTTTCTAGACATTCGAATAAATCACTGACATCTACTTCTGCCGACTCCAGCCTCTCTATGTTACGTCGTAGGTCAGATAAAGATGATCGCACAGTGTTAGCATCAAATGATTCGCTGGTGGCTTGACTTCTAAGATTATCCAAGAGAGAATTAATTCTTCCTATGCAGTTTTGTACGGATGGCAAATTTGCTCGTGCTTCCCTTTGAAGAGCCATTTTCTACAATGGCGCACATTTTGTATTACTTCTCTTGATTGGTTCCTCGAGAATTCAAATTGAAAACTATTGTTAACTATATTTAACGTCTGTAAACTATAGTTAACGAATGTGAATTATAGTTTATGATGATAAACTATGATTGACAAATGTGAATTATAGATTATCTCTCAAAACTATGGTTTACGATCGTGAATTATAGTTTACGTCTGTTAAATATAGTTTATGAGTATAAATGATAGTTAACTATAGTATACCACCGAAAACTATAATTAACGAATGTAAAACATAGATTATCTGATAAATACAGTTTCACGATTTGTAAAACTATGATTAACAACTGTTAACTATGAGTTTACGATTGTAAACTATAGTTTACAAACGTGAATCTATGTTTATCAACAAAATCTATTGTTAACGCTTTATTACAGACAGATAAACTTAGATTATCATTCGTAAACTATAGTTAACAACCGTTAAATATAGTTTTACAGATGATAACAATAATTAACGAATCGTTAACTATACTTAACGAATCGTTAACTATAGTTTACAGTCGATAAACCTAGTTTATCAAATGTGAAACTAGGTTTATCTCATTTTTGTGAATTTGGCGTGCCATACCTTACCGTTCAGAAGTTATGGCCAAGGTTAATTTTTTTAAAAAGTAGGTCAAACTCCAAGGTCAAGGTCATAGGGTCAAAGTTCTTTTTTATCAAATGAAAGGTCTTGTCACAAGAGTTAAATATGTAAAGTATGAAAGCAATAGCCCTAACTATTTAAAAATTATGGTCAATGTTTGCTTTTTTAAAGTAGGCCAGTCTCAAAGGTCAAGATCAAAGGGTCAAAATTCTTGGTATCCAATAAAGGGTCTTCTCACAAGGATTACACATATGAAGTATGAAAGTCCTATTCCTTAGCGTTCAAAAGTTATGGCCAAGGTTAAAGTTTTTTCACAAGTAAGGAAATCTACAAGGTCAAGGTCAAAGGGTCAACGTTGTTGGTATCCAATGAAAGGACTTTCAACAAAGATTACATATGTGAAGTATAAATGTCCTGGTATATACTGTTCAAAAGATATGGCCAAAGTAAAAGTTTAAAATTTTCATGTTAAAGTGGGTCAAACTCCAAGGTCAAGGTCAAAAGGTCAAATTTGGTGGTACCCAAAGAAAGGCCTTGTCACAAGAAATACACTTGTGAAATATGAAAGTCATAGCTCCACTAAATCAAAAGTTATGGGCAAGGTTAAAGTTTTTGCGGACAAACAGACAAACAGAGAGACAGAGAGACAGACAGAGAGAAAGACAGACAAACGGACACGGCAAAAACTATATACCCCCGAAACTTCGTTTACGGGGGCATAAAAGCTCTAGAAAACCTGTGACCGTTGCCAGGTGCCGCTGGATGCAGGAGGAGTTGTGAACGGTCCTCGCAACTTTATTACCATATATGAATAAACTAACATTATATAACAATAATTTAATATTGACATGTAATAATAATAATAATTAAAAAAAAAATTCTAAAAGAGCCATAGCTGCCTTACCGACGACTCGACCTACTCAAGTATTTAAATGGAAATCACCTGTTTCTATTTTTAGATACAGGTACCTTTTCAATATTGAATATTCAAAATCAAACTACATGTATGTAATCATTTGTGGACCAGTGTTATATTTTCATAGTTGCAAGTTTGTTACATGACAATCATTTTACTTGTTCAATACTCGTATTCTTAACAAGATTAATAAAAAATTAAAAAAAAACAAAAAAAAAACCAAGCAAATTCAAAGAATTGTGGTCCCCCGCTTTCGGTGTCTTTGTTGGTGAGATGTTATTTTTTATGACATATTGTGTCTAATATGAACATTCTATCATATGTCATTTCATAGAAATTATCATTGAAGTTGATTTTTTTGAAGGATGAAAACCCTTATCCTGACCGTTAAAAAGTTATGGCCAAAGTTAACGTTTTTTAAAAGTAGGTCAACTCCAAGGTCAAGATCAAAGGGTCAAAGTTGTTGATGAAAGGTTTTCTCACAAGGATTACATATGTGAAGTATGAAAGCCCTAGCCCTTACTGTTCAAAAGTTGTGGTCAAGGTTAAAGTTTTTACATAATTACGTAAATCTTTAAGGTCAAGGTCAAAAGGTCAAAGTTGTTGATATCCAATGAAAGGACTTGCCACAAAGAATACATATGTGAAATATAAAAGTCCTAGTATCTACCGTTCAAAAGTTGTGACCAAAGTTAAAGTTTTTTTTAAAAGCAAGTTGGTCAAAACTCCAAGATTACATATGTCATGGTCAAAGGGTAAAAGTTGTTCGTATCCAATGAAAGGTCTTCTCAAAAAGATTACATATGTGAAGTAAGAAAGCCTTAGTCCTCACCGTTCAAAACTTATGGTCAAGGTTAACGTTTTTTCATAAGTACGTAAATCTCCAAGGTCAAGGTCAAAAGGTCAAGGTTGTTGGTATCCAATGAAAGATCTTGCCACAAACAATACATTTGTGAAATATGAAAGTCCTAGTACCTTCCATTTAAAAGTTATGGCCAAAGTAAAAGTTTGAAATTTCTGTGTAAAAGTGGGTCAAACTCCAAGATCAAGGTCAAAAGGTCAAATTTGGTGGTACCCAAAGAAAGGTCTTGTCACAAGGAATAAACGTGTGAAATATGAAAGTCATAGCTCCACTAAATCAAAAGTTATGGGCAAGGTTAAAGTTTTTGTGACGGACAGACTGACAGACTGACGGACAGACGGACAGACGGACAGACGAATGAGATTTAATGTCCCCTCGCTTTCGCGAAAGCGGGGGACAAATTTCCCATTACAATTCTAACAGTGGATAAATATGTTGCTATATTTTGAGGTGTCTTATAAAAGGATATTAGACATGAAATAGTTTCTTTCAAACTGAGTTTTATACACAATAAGTAGTAAAGCCAATTGAGAAGGTCAAAAAATCCATTAAAAAATGGATACAGATAAATTCTTACTAATTAATGTGTCAGGACAGATATCTGATAAAAGATATCTGGAATACTCACTAGTTTCTTTTAAATTGAGATCAACATAAATTTGAGAAAAGTTAATTAGGAAAGGTTAAAGAAATGTTGAATTTGAATAGCTTTCCGCAGTCTGTATCAGGACATATTTAGTTTGATGAAAAAACAAGCAAATTCAAAGAATTGGGATCAGATGTTTTTTTTTTTTTTTTTTGTAATAACATATTGTGTGTAATATGAACATATCATACGAGGGTCATTCAAAAAATACGTAGACAATGTTCCTCATCATCATAATGTTATTACAAGATTAGATATCAACACATTTTCGTAAATAAAAACATTTATTTTGTCGATATGTGAAGTTTCATTCCATTTGATTATATTGAATTCATGGTAGCCAATTTTTTAAGCAACATGTTTTGTTACTACGGAGCACGGTCAACTAACATTGTAACGTCAAAAACAACGTTCAGAAAGTTTCTCAAAATTACTCTGCTTTTTAATGTCATCCACAGTTTGTAGCGTTTTTTTCATTTATAAAAACATACCCATAACACTTGATACCTAGTTTGCTAACAATTGTGCAAATACATTGAACCAGATTGTCATTGTTTTCAAATATATCTGAGATCATACTCACTAGTTTCTTTTAAATTGAGATCACATACAACAATATTTTCGTTATTAAATGTAAGTGTACCAAATTTGAGAAAAGTTAATTAGGAAAGGTTAAAGAAATGTTGAATTTGAATAGCTTTCCGCAGTCTGTATCAGGACATATTTAGTTTGATGAAAAAAAAAAACAAACTTTGATTTGTTTCTTTGAAGCTTAGCTAAATACAAATTTTTAAAAAAAATGTTCGATCAAGGTCAAAAGATAAAGGTCAAAAATGTTGATGTCATTGAATAAATGTTAATATCTATGGAAGCGTACTAGTGCCACACAATATTTTTTTCAAAGTTGGTAATTCCAACTTTAAAGTTGGAAATTCCAATTCCAACTTTAATCTTGGCTTTTCCAACTTTGTACGACTTTATGTATTATATTGTCTGAGATACTTGGTAGCTTAACTCGTGTTACCGTTTTATATATGTAATTAAAATGGAAAGGTACAATTTTATTATGAAATGATGATTTTAGAAGGAATCATTTTATTGTGCATGTCCGTAGTAACAGGAGGGGGTGCATGGGAGCATGTCGACCCCCCTCCCCCAATAATACAATCATTTACCGACATATAGTATTGGTAGTTGGTTGTTGATAGTGCCCCAAACTGAAAATATAATGTTCCATATACAGAACTGATACATTTAGTACTGATATATTTGTAGCATGCAATGTAGCGTTTGATTGACCCCATATATATATAATACCTTATAGCGGTCTCATTTTTAAAGCTTAAATAAATGTCCGATCTCTTAAATATGTTAGACTGAAGTCCTGTCATGTACGGAGTCTCTTCATGTGAGGGTTATGCATTTTTTCCTACAACATCTGCGACATTAATTCCCGTACTATCAACCAAAGAAAGCATTTCATTATTTAATAATATTTGAGAAATAGATATCAACATCAAACTGGATCCCACAATAGCCATTAACTGACTTATTTTCTCTACACAAGCCCTTGTGGTTGGATTAAAAATTGATATATTTTGAATAGTTTCTTTGAATCTTTGAAACGGCGCAGAGAAAAGTAAGGTCACGTCAAAGGAAAGGTCAAGGTAAAAGGGTGATGATTAACTATCATCTATTATTAGCAAAACCCGGGAGTGCTTTAAAGTGATAGGACTAGTTTTACCCACCCCAGCAAGGATATGAAAACATCAAGTCGTACGCTATTTTGTCTGGTGTCTTCAATTTTCCTTTTAATCAACAAATATGTAGCTTCAAGGGAAAACGGGGGCTGGTAATTTATTATTTTTAAAAAGATATTTCTCGTATTATATCGCAATAAGTTAAATAGTAGTGGATTAATTGCTTGCACTGGTTTTGTATACGTATTGTAATTCGAATTTCCTCAGTTATTATTTTCTTTCAGGAGCACAGACTACTTTTTATTAGCTAATCCAGGGCCCTGCACAGTTGAAGTTAGAAAAGCTTCTTCATTATCACAAGAAGAATTTATACAAAGGTGGTATGATTTTGGATTTGTACGTTCTAACTTCTCAGATGAATCTAAAATCTGCATTCATCCAGGGACCTATATATACTATATAGTATATAGGTCCCTGATTCATCTAACCTTAATTTTTAGAATGTTTTTATCGTGCAGGTATTTTAACATTCTGAATATTGAAACATGTTACGTAATGTTTGATTTTTCCCCAGATATGCCTATACAAAGCCAGTAATTATTCAACATGCAACAGACAATTCAGTAAGTATACATAAATTTCAGCATACAGTGACAACCAGGTAATTCAGATCCTTGCTGGTTCATGTAAATATATGTGACAGTGTTAATTACCATATAAATGTTGTTTCATCAAATAATAATTAACAAAGAGAAACAACAGTGAGGGGAATTTTCTGTTTATAGTCATGACAGGTTTCTACTTTGTACAATGATGAAACACAAGCTTATCTGTAAACTAGATTACTCATGCAATTCTAAATTCTGGGGGTAAATAAAAGTAAACCTATAATTTTTATACTAAAAGAGGCAGCAAAGTTTAACTTAGCTGATTCTGTGGTATTGAATCACCATTTGCCATCTTAATTTGAAAAATATGATTTATAAATATTGTGTATTTTCATTGCAGAAATTTTATGGAATATGTGAGAAAGAGCTAATGTTGGAAAAGTATGGATCTAAAAAGATTAGATTAAGTTCTGCAAATACACACTCCTATGACAAAAGTAAGTTGTAAACATCATAGTTGTCAATTTCACTTTTTTGCATTGCTGTTGACTTATAGCTTGAGTAATATAACTGTGTCTTGGACAGGTCCTTGATTCTGTTGGAAATTTATCCATTGTTACTGTAGCCATGTTTTTTAAAAGATCAAATTGCAATGTAACTTTTAGCAAGACCAAAGTATTTTATGTCAGTTATCAATTTAAAGATTCAATTAAAGTGACAATATGATGCATCTCTTGAAAAACAGACTTGTTAAAATGTTCCTGTAGGATTTGGAATTTTGTTCATACTCATAAATGTATACACTTTCGGAAAATTACAAATTTCATAAGTAAATAATTCTGATTATTTCATTAAAATTAATAATTATTTATGGTACATAAATATATACATCGCAACGTGTTCGAGGTTCCACATTCCATGCTACACACGCATGCGTATAGTTTTCATAAACAAAACAGCATGGTAAGAGAGGGAAGCCCGGTAGGCCTGCTACATTGACAAAGTCGACCAAAACGAAAAACAAAACCAAAAATAGGGCTTGAAATTAAAAAGCAACTTTCCTGACAAAAATTTAGTTGGGAGATTAATATAATCATTGGATGAAGAAGAAACGGGATCTCGGCAACATTCACGTGCTCGCGAAGATTCTACCCTACAGGATTGTTGATACATGCTATCATTTCTCGTATCTCCATGGCTTTCAAAGAAAAAAAAAATCAGTGTAAACAACATAAAAATGCACCTATGACATATAAAAATTATTGCAATATGAAGTGCAAATTGTATTTGATCTGCAGAAAGATATTTTGTTTGACATTTTGTGTTAAAAGTAAATTAAATTGAAAACATTTTATTAAAAAAATTGTGATGATTTGGTGGATTTTCCATTAAAAACAAAATTTTCTTGGGGGAGGGGGACTCTCCTGCACCCAATACACAAAACGTCAACATTTGTACTTAATCATGTTAAATTCGTCTAAATGCAGACTAAAATGTTAACTATCATTAATTTACCGGAGAGTTAAGATATTTTGATTCTGAGAATTGCTTTTACCTAATATTCCATTATAATTGTAAACCTACATTGTATGCACGTGCCATTTTAGAACTCACGTGGTACAAGTAAACAGATCTAAGTTGTACGACCCTTGATTTTCCGGCAGATTCTAATTACGATAATATTGTATGAGGAGAGAATATTTATTTTCCTCAAAATGCTTACTTCAACTGTTTACCTTATTCCTTAATGATATATTGGGTAAATTTGAATGAAAAAGCACACGATTTGCAGCTGTATTGCTGCTTTAAGAAAGATGATTTACAAAATAAGTATGAGATATCTGCTTTTATTTCTTATTTATTACAATCTACAGCTGTGTTTAATTGCTTTCAGGGGATGTAACTCTTAAGTATTATGTAGAGAATGTTATGAAGCCCCAGACACTGGAAATGTTAGGAAACGGTAAGATAAATCAACTTGTAAAACTTTTCTGTTATGCCTAGAAATATCATTTTGAAGAGGACAACATTAAGATTTAAGGACCCTATCTACACAAGTGCAAATATTTTTTTGGACATTGAGAAAAATGTATTGTATAAAGGAGTTAATAATGAGCTTATTTATTTAATTTTCACTATATGGTGCGTGGCATTTGCCCCCAGGAAAAATGTTCAAAGACAAGACAGTATCAGTGAATAGAAAACACTTTTACTTACTTCAATAGAGAAAATACATGTAAATTACATGTTCAGTTAATTTATCTTGGTCTTTTGAAATGTTAAGAATACTTGAATTAATTACAAATTGAGTAATATATTGTAAATTTCTATTTTTTAGAATTTAGATCTAAGGGCAGATCACTCTAACTGCAGAAAAATACCTTTGAATCAGAACTCTTTAGTGTGCAGTGTAGAGAGGGTTCTTAATTAGGAAATCTGAAAAGGAAACAATTAATTAAAACTCTGTAGAGAAAAAAGAAACGTTTATTTCTTGATTGCATTCTAGAGACATTTTACTGGTTTGGGGATAACAATTACACAGAGTGGAAGGAGTTGTTCAGTCAGTACAACCCTCCCCCTTACCAGCTTCCCAGGATGACTGGTGCTTACAGCTTTGGGGTGGCAGGTAGGAGATCCATCTTAGAATTTATATAGAAAGTAATTACATGTACCTGTAAATCATGCATTTTAGAAATTGTATATATAAAGGCATTACTTACTACAGCAAAGCTGCAAAACTTTAGTGGAGCTTTAGGACAAGGAATTGTAAATCAAGAAATTTTGCAAGACATTAATCATTTTCTTATTTGATTGTAGAATCCATTTAGGAGATGAAAAAGATTACAAGACAATTTAAATGATATAAATGTTTTTTGATGTATTTTACATACATGTATTTAAACAGGAGCTGGTACTGGTGTACCCTTCCATTTTCATGGTCCTGGATTTGGAGAAGTTATTTTTGGCAGAAAAGTAAGAAAGGGGTTTCCAAATCGAATTTTTCACAGGTTGTTTTCATTTAAGATTTTTTTTTAGTCTTATTTACTGTACATGTGTAATTACTGTTTTATTTAAAGAGATGGTTCCTTTACCCCCCAGAGAAGACTCCCTCATTCCATCCAAACAGAACCACCTTACAGTGGTTGATAGAAGACTATCCAAAGCTTCACCCTGAAGACTATCCATTAGACTGTACAATCAATCAAGGAGAGGTCAGTAGATTTATCCTATAGGCTTTAACCATTAGACTGTATAATCAACCAATAACAGGTCAGTAGATTTATCTTGTAGGCTTCTATCCATTAGTTGATCAAGGATAATTGGTTAATAGATTATCCAATTATCCTGTAGGCTTCTATCCATTAGACTGTATAATCAACCAAGGAGAAGAGGTCAGTAGAATTATCCTGTAGGCTTCTATCCATTAGTTGATCAAGTCCATGGTTAACAGATTATCCGATTATCCTGTAGTCTTCTATCTATTAGACTATATAATCAACAAAGGAAAGGTCAGTAGAATTATCCTGTAGGCTACTGTCCATTAGTTATTAAGTTCATGGTTAATAGATTGTTATGTAGGCTTCTATCCATTAGACGGTACAATCAATCAAGGAGAGGTTAGTAAACTTAACCCATAGTCTTCAATCCATTAGTTAACAAGTTCCTTGACAATAAATTGCTTAACTACATGGAAATCACAGAATTTTTCCTGCTACCATATACACCACAGAGTGTAAACAAAGATAATAATGACAGAATTTTACCTCATTAAATATCTATGATTATAAAAGTTTAGCAGAAACACCATCCTTTGGAATCTTGCATAAATGACTGATAATGTGCCTCAAATTTTTGTGAGAAATCTTGTTAAAGAAGCAATACTTCAAATAATATAAAAATTAGGAAATACAAAATCTTTTGGCACTTTCTAAGTTTTTTCTTTTAATTCCATTTACAGATAATCTACTTCCCAGATAGATGGTGGCATGGTACCTTAAACCTTGACACAAGTGTTTTTATATCAACTTTTTTGGGTTAATAAATATTTATTTATATTTTATATATTAAGAAGTGTATTTTTGTTGTTTTTGAAAGATCATCACTTTTAAAAATTGTTTTAGAGCTTTTTATATACCATGAGAAATTAAATCTTTATTAAAATGCACACAATACCATCTTACATTGCAGTTTGAATTTCTGACAGAAAAGGAATTTGAACTTAGAAAATCTAAGATAATTTTTATTTATTCCAGTAAAAGATATCAGTCTTGTAAGAGGATTTTGAAAAACATTTCTAAAAGAGAGTTTTCTATGTCTGCCATATTTGTCATCTCAGGATGATCTTCTCCAGTCCCTATACATGTATAAGCCTCAGTTTTGTTCACTGTCCTTTGTATTTTGCTTCATGGACTTAACCTGAATGATGTGATATATTTGGTATTTGAAATAAATGGAAATGCATGTTCATGTTGGGTGGCTAGGGGGATTATTTACTCAGTTTGCATTTAGAAAAACACACCACTTTATAATATCGTTACTGAAAAATGAATTTTGTGGAGCAAGTGAGAGTTACAAGTTTACTGGTAACTTCAAAATTAAAAATAAACTAAAATCCAGTTTTGAATTGAGGATGAAATTTTCCCCAGTAATTTTTTTCTACTTTAAAATTGACTATTACGCACATACACAATCTACTAGTACTCAATCTAGGTGTCATTATTAAAAAAAACCCAGAAAATCAGCAGAAGAGGATGAAAGAAACGGAAGAAAAAAGATGGAAAAATAATTTCTAAATAAATCAGGAAGCTCATGAGCATTAAATCTCACTTGAGTAACTTGAGCACTGTTGTTTTATTTTCAGACTGAATATTTTCAGTCTGTTGTTTTATTATCAGACTGAATATTTTCCAATGGAAAATTGTGATCCCATATTATGACTTAAACTTTAAAGGTACTCACTGTCGGCTCATGCATTCAAGTACATATATATCAAGAATGAACCAATAAAGGATGATGGATCAAAGTTAGAAACATTTCTACTTATCACATTTTTGTAAGGATATTTGTGAGCCACCATCCAAAGCTTTTACTTTGCATCATTGCCAGCTTTTATCTGCATAGATTCTTTAAACAAAACAATATTCCCTTTTAAGAAATAGTAACTAAGTGGCTGCATCATTTGTAATGCATGTATATTCACTTTTGGACAAGTTTGGACTTTCTTCTGTAGCAATTAATTCTGACCATAGAGCCTCGAATTCATGGTCTTTATCACTACAATTGTCATCTGCAGCACATTCAGCCATATCATCATCATTATCATCAGAATATTCATCATCACTGAAATTCTCCTTTGTGTTGACTCTATTGTCGATAACTAGAGTAGTGTTTTCTGTGATATGAGGCTCAGATAAGGGTTTTGCTGATGCCTCTTCAAAAGCATATCCTCTAGAAAGTTGGTGATCTCTAGGTTTTACAGGAATATCTTGTTTCTCGTCCTACCATTTTAGGGATTTTTCACTCTCCCAATCGGCCACAAAAATGAAATCCCCAACACAGCCAGAGGTGCTGCTTCTCTTAAACGATTCTTTTTTCTTTGTATTTTTAATTTTCCGGATCGGTCCCCGTGCCCTTGGTATCAGCTGTAGAGAACTTAACAGCCGTGTGATGGGAAAAACCGACTTCTAAGACATGAGGTTTTTGAAATTCTTTTGTGTTGCATCTATGCCTTTCCCACTGAGTTCTCCATCGAACCTGATCTTTCCGGGAACGTTTTCAAATAAGATTAGTTGCATACTAGTAGTGCTATTTGAGCATGAATCCACACTGCTATCAATGTCATCACCAGGCGGATATCTGGAAATCATTGCTTCAGAGGAATTGGATAAATAACTATCACTGTCCTCGGATTTTACCACATATTTCGATGAAGTGTTATATTTATCGGACAATTCAACATTTCTTGCTGGCACCTCTGTGTCTTCCGATTTGTCAACAGATTTGTACCCTGATTTTATAACCAAATCCTTTTTACTATGCTTCATTGAATCAAAAGGAATCATGTACTTGAGATTTAACCACTTCCTTAAATGAAAGATCCTTAGCAATGTTTGTATCAATGGAAGCCTTGTTTTCTTGACTTATATAGGCATCCATATACTTGTATGATACTTTGGAATTTCCTGAATTTTCTTCCATTGCAGCCAACCCTAGAGCTTTAATTTCTGGTTCTGAATCATCTGAACTATTTTTGTCATTTACAGCATATTCCTCTATATTATCATCATCAGAATATTCATCATCACTGAAATTATCTCCCGCATCGACTTTATTTTCGATAACCCGAGTAGTGTCACCTATGATATAAGACTTAGACATAAGTGTTACTGATGCCGCATCAAAAGAATATTTACGAGAATGTTGTTCATCTTTAAGTTCTACAGAAATATCTTGTTTTTTTTCCTTCCATTCAAGTGATTTTCCACTCTCAAAAGCGACCACAATAATTAAATTTCTAAAACATCCAAAGGCGTTGCCCTTACATGATGCTGCTTTCTTTTGAGCATTTTCAATTGTTTGGATCTCTTTTATGCTTTTGATATTATCTGAAAGTGACTTAATATTTGCTGAGAAAAACCGACTTCTGGGAGTTTAGTTTCAAACTTCTCTTGTATTGCATCTTTGTCGTTCCTTCTGATATCTCCATCGAACTTGTTCTTTGAGGAAACATCCTCAAATGAATTGAATTGCATACAGCAAGTACCCACATCGCTATCACTGTCATCTTCTGACAAATATTCGCAAATTGTAGCCTCTGAGGAATCGGATAAATATCCATCGCTCTCCTCGAATCCTAACACAGGTTCCAATGTAGGGTCAGATCTATCGGGCAAAGCAACATCGTTTACTTGGTCCATTGCGTCTTCCGAGTTGGTAACGGATTCGTTCTCCAGTGCATTTGGCAAATCGTTTGCTTTATTGAGCTTAGTAGAATCAGAGAAATCCTTTATTTTCGTTTTAACTAATCCCTTAACCGAATAATCCTCAGCAATGTTTGCGCCATCGGTAGCCTTGGTTTCTTCTTTCATAAATACATCCACGTCTGGTACATTGGAATTTTCTTCTATGGATTCCAACCATTGAGTTTCAACTTCCAGATCGGTGACGCTGCTGTAGCCATCAGAAGCATAACTATTTGTATCATCAGACGACTCTGACAAATCATCATTGGTGAAATTTCTTTCATCGATGTCTTTATTACATTCCACAACTTGGACTCTATCTGACAATCAAACCCTGACAGGTATTGAGCTTTTATCATCGGGTGGCGATTCACACATGTTTTCCGACACTTCTTGTTTAAGAGTACTGCTTTTGGAATTTTCTGGATAGTGGAATAAACTTGCTGAATTAAAATTTTGATCATAGCAATTCTGCACATTGTTTTCATGTTCATCATTTCCTACCAAAGCAGCTTTTGATATATTTGAAATGGCTATTTCGGGAGAAGTGTTTTGGCAAGTAGACGTTGTATTATCGACAGATTGTTGCAAAATCCCTACTTCTGAGTCTGTATCATTAACTCGGTCATCTTCAGCATGTTCAAACATATCATCTTTATCATCATCAGAATATTCAGCATCCGCGGAATTCCTTTCCCTTTCTTTTCAATAGCCCAAGTAGTATCATCTGAGATATGATGATTAGATATATATTGTTTATCTTTCTTCCTTTCCGTGAATTTTGTATTCTCAAAAGCGAGCACAAAAGCTGAATCTCCGAAACATCCAAATGTGCTGCTCTTACAGGATGCTTTCTTTGCATTTACAGATTTATGGAATGGTCCCATGCCCTTGGCATCAGCTGAAAATGATTTAATAGCTGTTTGCTGGGAAAAATCGACTTCTGAGAATTCAGATTCAAAATGCTTTTGTATTGCATCACTGGCTTTTCTACTGAGTTCTCCTTGGAACTTGTTTTTTTCGGGGTCATCCTGTATGCTTTCTTTAAAGCAAATATCCACATCGCTATCACTGTCATCCTCTGACAAATAACCACAGACCGTAGTATCAGAGGAATCTGATAAATAACCATCACTGTCCTCGGATTGTAAGATAGAGTCCGAGGTAGAGTCAGATCCATTGAACAATTCAACATAGCTGGCTGGGTCCTCTGCATCTTCTGATTTAGCAACGGATTCGTTCTCCAGTGCATTTGGCAAATTGTTTGCTTTATTGGGCTTTGTGACATCAGAGAAATCCTCTTTTTGAGTGTTAACCATTCCCTTAACTGAATGATCCTCGGCAATGCTTGTACCATCGGTAGCCTTGATTTCTTCATTCATAAATACATCAAAGTCTGATACATTGGAATTTCTGGAATTTTCTTTTATGGATTCCAACCATAGAGCTTCAACTTCCGGATCTTGTCGCTGCTGTAGCCATCAGAAGCATACCTATCTGTGCCATCAGATGAATCTGAGAAATCATCATCGGTGACATTTCTTTCATCGATGTCTTCATAACATTCCACAACTGTGGTTTCATCTGGCAAGCAAACCCCGACAGAGACTGAGCTTTTATCATCAGTTGGGCCATCCTTAAAAAATTGTTTGTTTGGAATTGCCGCCTGAAGGGTTTCAGACACAGGAGGGAGGGAAATTATTTTTTTTTTACTGAAGATAAATTTTAAATTTTTGATAAAAATCTCAGTAAACAATAAAAACATTTTTTCTGACTTAAAAAAAAAAGCATCTATCATCAACAAAAAACCTCATTTTACATAGATCTGAGGCTGTATTTCAGTGTTTTGTATGGTGCATGTGATACATGTAATGGGCAAAAAAAATTAATTAAATTAAAAAAAATCTTCCTACTTTTGGTCAATAATTTTTTTTCAGGAGGTGGCATTTCAATGGGGCGGGAGGCAATTCAAAACAAACTATAATTTTATTTTGGCCTTGACGATTCGTGCACATTGTGATTTTGTTCTTCAACATTTCCCACCAAAGCGGCATTAGAAATTTTAGAAATGGCATTTTCAGGAGTTACTGTAGCGTTT